GCTATTCAGCTACAGAGTCGTGCGTCGCTATGTCAATTATAAGAGGGAAAAAAACCTTAGACACTATCTAAAAGTTTCATGTCAAAAGGGTAATTAAATATGCTATAATAGAATACGAGACTCATAGAAAAATATTTAAGAACATGGATAAATATTCATAATCTACTATTACATGAAACAATCAGTTAACAAAGAAATATGTATGCATATTTTATGCCATATTTATATAACTATATATATATTCATACACACATACAGTTATATGCACATAAGGAAAAATTCTAGAAGAAAATATACTTAAATGTTAATATTGAACATCTTTGCATGCCCAAGATATGAGTACATTCTTTTTTTGCTTATTTGCACTTTCTAATTTTCTATAAACACCAGCTGTAATTAAAAAAAAAACTTGTTATAAAAAATAAACTCACTGATTTATTTTAAAAATCAACATTTTATCAAGAATCTACATAAAATCTCATGTCATCTTCTCAATGATCCTATGAGATAGGCATTACATTTTGTATCTTACATGTGAGGAAATTTATTGGTTAAGCAACTTGCACAAAATTACATGGCTAATTAATGACAGAATCAGGAATTTGAACCCAAGTCTTTCCAATTCAGACTATATACTATTCAAACTGGACTGAATGTATGCAAAAGTTGCATCTTCAAGCTATCTGTTGGATTTCTTCATGCCTTTCTAATTTTCACTTATTTGGTGAGAATACTCAGTGATAGTAGGGAGTCCATCTTCAAGCCCAAGACTGACGCCATCCGTTCCAACAGTCCAACACCTTTATTACCTTTATTCCATCTTCCCAGCGTTTAGAGGCTCTTTATCACAAACTATTTGCCTCCCATGCCCAGGGACATAAGCAGAATGAATCTTCTGCTGTTTCTGGAAAGCTTACTGTGTGCGCATGTTGTCCCTCAATTTCCATGGGGGATTGGTTCTAGGACCCATCGTGGATACCAAATCCATGCTCAAGTTCCTTAAATAAAATGAGACATGATTTGCTATAACCTACGCACATCTTCCCGTATACTTTAACTCATCTCTAGATTACCTATAATACTAAATGCAATGTAAATGCTGTGTAAACAGTTGTTATACTCTATTGCTTAGGGAATAATGACAAGAAAAAAAATGTCTCTGTGTTCA